GCTTCCAGGACCTCGTGCAGCTGGTACAGTTTATATGCGTCTTCGTGAGCAAAAAAGACATTCTTGCCACAGCACTCTTTTTGGGGAACGTGGCCAACTTGTTGGCTTTTTGAAATTGTTTCAACATTCTGAGCTGCTTGTTCGTTTTTGTATGAAGAAATAATGAAACTCTAAGTTCTTGGTCGGTTTGTGGAGATTGTAGCCTACTGGTACCTTGCTGGGTGAAGAGCTTCAATCTGTTGACTTGAAGTCGTCAATCAACTGGAAGGAAATCATCAGGATTGGTGGCGATATGGAAAGGGTCATTTCAGGCTGGTTAGCCGAAGAGAAACAACTGTTGTGACTGGAAGCAAAAAGATTTTACATTAAATGTTCAAGCTACCTGCTTCTCAACACTGCCACTCGACAACATTGTTTTGAAGGATCTCGGGTGCCTTCAATGAAACGTCGTTCAAGAAGAAAGTTCTGTTGTAGCTTTGAAACTTCAGACAAGCTCCACGAGTGATAGCACCTGAAGAAATGTAAGCTCTAATGGACGAACTCTCACTCATTTCTACGGAGAAGCTTCAGTATGAACCAGGCAAGTGAGCTGGTGGTGCCTGGCAATGTATCTTAGTTATGTGAGGCAAAGACAACAGTCCTAAGTACACTTTGCTAGTGAAGCTCGTGAAGTCATTACTGTGCCTTTTGCACGGTAATACTGATGTGACAAAAGGATTTAGTGAGAATCGCCAGCTGCTGCAAGAGAGGAGAAAGCTGTCGAATGCGAGCATAAATGAGCTTCGTGCTGCTCAGTCATTTTCTAAGATGTATGACTGCAATTTAGCGGCGATTCCAATCAAAATAGACGTGAAGAAAGTCTAGCAGTCGTATAAGCATTATTAAGAGTGAATGACGAGAAAGGAGGAGCACACAGCTAAGAGACGCGAATTTGGCATCATCGGCTGTTCAACGAAATCGCAGCAAAAACAGGACCTAAGTGCTGAAATTGACGCGAGAAAAAAAAACATTTAGCAATGCTGAAGTTCTGATTGCAAAAGGCATGAAGGCAAAAGCTTTTGCCGACATTGCTAGTGGCCAAGCATTACTGAAGAAGGGCAAGCAAGGCTTGCAGAAGCTCCCCATAAGCTTGAAGTTTAAAAAATATTGTGTGGCACACCATTGCAGTATTTAGTGCTAACTAATGTGATCCGTGAATGTGACTACTTCGACCACGTACTTACTGTGCCTAGTGCCATGTAGTACTGTCGATAGAAACTGAAAGCTGTAAGCCCATCTGCTATTTTTATTAACATGTTTTTATTCTGCACTGGACCACTGTTTTAAAAATTTATAAAGCAGGGCATTACAGTTTTTTTATAGTTGAATTTACACAGGAGTCCTGTCCTGACTTTGTCGTCAGGTTTATATAGCTTTTGCTAAAGTACTTTATTGTCTTGTTAAAGGGATACTGACAGAAAAACTTCGGCCTTGAGTTTTTATGCTACAATGCGTTGCTGAGGGCCTGTTAGTCATGACACGACACATCGTTTGCTGCAGCACGTGACAAATAATTAATTACAGGCCCCTCATTATCAATCAGTTTGTTTCGGTTTGAGAGAGTTTCAAAAACTGGGTGCAACTGTGGCCACCTAGCATGTGCTGTTCTTGACGTCGGCACACAGAACTGTGATGCACTCCCGCACAGTCCACTTCAAGAATTACTTTCGAATAGCAATTGGGACTGGAATGTCGCCAAACACAAAACTTTCTAAGCGTGCGCCACGGCCACGCTCTCTCAACCAGCTGCCAAGAAATAGACTTTGGGAACTAACGCGGCAAAAAAAATAAATGGCGGCTTTGACGTCATCATAATTTGTTTTGTTGACAGCTTTGTGGTGACGTGAGGGAAGTAGAGGGTTCCCTCGGGGTCCCCTCTGAGGGTGTCTATAACGCTATGAAGTCGGTCGCTCACGCAAACTTTAAAATTAATTTAAAATACCTTCCAAGCTATATTCGCTGTTGATATCTTGCAGAACATATACGAATGTTCACAAGAGTCGACCCCAATGGCTATCTTGACCCCAAAATTTTGTGTCAGTACACTTTTAAAATAGTCAATTTAAAGCTAAGATGGTTTTCTATTTTACATGAAGAGTTTTTACATTGTGTGTATTTTTAATAATTTGGACTTGGTCGTTTTTGTCGTTTTTGCTAAGCTTTTACAGCAATCATTGTTGATAATGTGTCAAATTGGTCCAATCTCAAGGCTGTTTTGGTGTACCTAACTCTGTATAAAGATAAGCCTGAAAGTTCGAATGTTTAATTTTTAAAGACGTATGCTGACAATTGTGATCTTCTGGCTCTTGCTATATTTGCGTTTTCTCTGTTTTGGTCTTGAAGTTTAAGTTGAAATGACCTAACTTCGGGACAGTTTAGTGATGTATCTGGACGTTTTTTTTATTGTTGTAATTTTCAAATCCTTAAGCTGATGGCAACAGAAATCTTGTTGAGACATTTGGAATAATGAGTCTACTACACTTTATTGATTTCTTATGTACAGTATGGTGCACAATAAACACTTGGAACCACCTTGACAGATTTATTGTGACTTATTTTTACCCTTATAACTGGAGATTGACAGACTTATTGTGACTTATTTTTACCCTTATAACTGGAGAAGCATACTGTAGCATCTAGTTTCCAGTGGCTGCTCCAAATTCTAATTTTGCTTGCTCCAACAGCTGCCCCAAGAAGTAAAGTGCCACTTTCATCACTGCAAACATGATCATCGACGCTTTCGAATGAAGTTTGTCAGATAGGCTTTGCAGGCAAGAAGTCAACCAGCAGTGCAATTAAGTGCACAGATTGTTGGAGCAACCGCCAGCATACTTCCCATATTCTGTCATTTGTTTATTTGCCCAGAAAGAATGAGTACATCATGATCTGCTAATGTTGAGAGAAGCATTGGCATGCTGCCAGCGTTTCACTGCTGTGTTGCAGCAAAGCACATCATCTTTTCCGCAGGTGCACTTTTTTAGCTGACTACAAGATCGCTTTCGCTTTTTCTTTTATTTTGTTGTTTTTTCCACTATAGTAGAAGCGAGGCTGGGGTGGTTCAGCTTCCACACATTAGTATCCCTACACTGCATTGCCTTGCGGCTTTTAAGGGCCGTCATTTCTGCCGATTTGCGGCGAGATCGGGAATCGGCACATGGCACCCAAAGTTTTGGAATCAACCGGGCTGGTGCTAACCGCTGCTTCAAATTATCCACTCGTGGTTACATTGCAAAATACCTGGCCGCAAATATCCTTCTAATTAAGTGGTGTTTCGGAATAACCGGGTTTGAATTAGTTAGGTTTTACTGTATCTTCAAGTCATGCTGGCATGACCATTTAAAAGCAGCGTGGGAGACTTGTGCAAGAGCCGTAAATTGGCTAACAAATGTATGCCACATTCTTTATTAATAATATGAAAGAAACACCTTTTATATTTGATTAAAAGAGGAGTCAAAAATTAAAAACTTGTTCCTAGTTATTGTTTGCAGCACCAAGAAATACTAGTGGGAAGCACTGTTGTTGAGCTAGTTTTCCATATACTTGATCGTTTGTGTTATGTAATGTGTGTAATGTGTAATGTGCATGTGCTTGTCTTTTTAGGAAAGAACTTAATTGCTACGTGTGTTGATGGCTTTCTTCGTATATCTGCTTGACTGGCGCTAAAGCATTATGCATCAAATAAATGTGAATTCTTAGCTCTTTGCATGCTGGATGTACGCAGTGTTGAATGTCGCAGCTTTCTCATTTTTCCGCAGTTATTGCGTGCTGCTCTTTTTTTCTTTGATCTGATTTGACTTGGATGCTTCCCTTGCACAGACTTCAGTTTCTACCTCTAATTACTAGTAACTCATTTTTTCCGATGTTTCTCAGTGTATGGAATGAGGACAAACAAAGAAGAGATAGTGCTGAACTTGCAACTTGCAAGAAAAAAAAAACGGAGCAGACAAAGTATACAGAATTTCAATCTGAGAAAACTGTGGCTCATTATGGACATCGCATATTTTGCCATAAAAAAATTGCTTTTCTAGCTCAAAAGAGGAAGCAAGGCTACACTGATGCACTTTTCATCACGTTTCTAAAATTCTTGGGATTTTATGGCTTCCCGTCCTGTCCTATTTTTGTTTCTTGTGGGTCAAGCCCCTTTTCAATCATGCGTGTTCTCTCAAGAAACAAGTAAGATAGTGCGTGAAATCATATAAGCCCAAGCAATTTTGAAACCTGATGAAAAGTGCATCAGTGCTGCATCGCTTGCTCTAGCAAAAAAAGTTTTTATCACAAAACATGGGTTGGGTCGCAGTTTCTTCTGACTGCAACACCTTGTTTGCTCTGTTCATCTTTCGCCTCGCCGCTGTGGTCTAGTAGCTAAGGTACTCAGCCACTAAACCTGCGGGATCGAATCCCAGCTACGGTGGCTGCATTTTTGATAGAGGCGATAATGCTGTAGGCCCGTGTGCCCAAATTTGGGTGCACTTTAAAGAACCGCAAGTGGTCGAAATTTCCGGAGCCCTCCACTACGGCATCGCTCATAATCTTATGGTGGTGTTGGGTGGTTAAACCCCACATATCAATCATTATCATCTGTTCATCTTTTTCTGAAAAGCGCTATGGCAGGAAAATAAGTCAGTTGTAAGTTTAGAGCTCTCGCTTCTTTGTTTGATCTCATTCTATACGCTGTGAAACATGGACTTATGCTGAACCAACTAGCTGAACACTCCACCTTCTTTTCTTTCATATAACCAGCAGTTCAAGCACTTTAGCTGCCACTTCATTGCCCTCATTTGCCTTCGCTCATCTGCAGTTCTCCTTATGGTCAGCCATTTTCTTTCTTTCTCTCTCGCTCCTTCTCGTGATGTATGGTCTTTGTTGAAGCTGAGGCGTGTGCGCTCTCCATCTGTGGATTTCTGACTGTGATCGCTTGTCATTTTTTCATGGCGTTCTGGTTGCTTATCGTGGCATCGCAGGAGAGGAGGTACCAGGTAAGCTCCCAATTTTGCTGAGACCTGCCTCTTCTCAGACGAGTCGATGCTTTCACTTCTATTTATCTTTTCACGCGATCCATGTCTAAACGAGTTGCTCGAGGAATTCCTATTTATTTTCCATAACTTTCCTTGAAGTAGGGAGCATGTCGCAGCTTCTCAGCTAATGAAGCTGTCATATTTGATGGTAGGTAGAAAAATCAGTATTGATTGCTGTTCTGCTTGTGTAAATGTACTGAAGCGTGGTTGATGAGTTACTAATTGAGCCTTTATGAGTCTACAGGCATCGAGGTCAAATGAGGAACTGGTATATCTACAATACTAAAAATGCCAACGAATTGAGAGAAAGAAAAAAAATAGCTTATGTAGTTTATACATCATTTCTCATTACTTAAAGGAAAGAAAGAAAAGCTGGCTGTACAATAGGAGAAAATTTAATCTGTTTCTCATTTTTTACAGCGTCCCTATCGAAAAAAACTTGGGAAGTGGCCTTTGGGGGCATGCATCAGGGTTGTACGGTGGTGTTCCAAGTCGTGTAACCCTTGGTCCATCATTTATCACCCTCACAGATAACTCGAGCTACACTACTATTTCTACTGCTTTTTTGTGTGCATAGTTATACAGCATTGCTTGCATTGATATTGTTTTCTTGTTCAAGAATAACCAAATTCCTGAACTTAGTAAGCTGCATAGGTATGCAGTCACTAACAAAAGCTTTAGCTAATGTTTTTTTTTTTAGTATTTGAATAAATTTTTATGTAACTAAATATTTGTGCAACTTTTCCCGTTTTATCAGTCTTGCTTAATTGGGAGAACATATTTTACATAAGCTGGGCAAAGGTTATGTTGATATATTCCCGACTTCTCGGGTAATACAAAAAGTGTTGTTTAAGTGTTTCACATGCCTCCCGTTTATTCAAAATTTTCAAAAGTTGAAAGCTTTAACTTTACACATGAATTTTTTCATTAGTTCCTGAAAATTTCAAAAAAGCTTGTGGCCATTGAGTGACTTGAGCATTTTGGACCCCACGGTTACTGCGGCTGTTGCGGGATGCTGCTATGTTCTTGTGCGTGTGCTCGCATTAACACTGCTTAGCACATTTTTTTTGTGGTTTATTGAAAGCCTTGTTCAGAGCAGAGGATACAGCTGTCGCAGCTCTTGTCTCTGCTTTCCTCTGACTTTCAAAGCATTGACATGAGCAGTCCCAGCTTTGTCATATCTCAGTTGTTTGACAGGGTCAAAAAGAACCCATGATATATCAGAGAACTGGTGTTTTTCTGTTTTATTTTGGCTAAGTTGTTCTAAAGGAGTTTGCCTTAAGGCCTTCTCACTTATTCAGTGTAGCTATATAGGAGGCAGTCATCTTTAGCCAGGGGGCTGCTGGTAAAGTCTCGCAGTGAACAGGAGCAATTGTGTTTGGTGCATGTGGCCACTCGTCATCAGTTGGGACGTAACCAGTGCTGGCCACTCTTTCTGGGGCTAAGGGTGGTAAAAATTATGTATACACCTACTTAAAACTCGGGTGTGCAATTAATATGGTTTGGTCTATAACCACTGGTCTTTTGAGGCACCCTAGTCTTTTGTAATTTTTTCTGTTATTGACAGCTGGCCATGAATGCCAGGTAGCTTATCAGATAATGTATAAGCTGTGTTTTATGGATTATAGTACTAATAAGCAAGGGTGAATAATGATTTCTGTAATGGCCTTGTCTAGTTTGTGGCAACTGACAAGGGTTTCATGGAATGGTAGCTTGGTCTGTTTGATGACTTACCATCAACATGTTTGCAGAGCCCAGAATGAACTAGGACAGACGCAATGTAGACCTTCGTTGTATCCTCTCATGCGTGTTCATTCAGTTAGCTGTATGCAAATATGGGAATGATGGTTTCATAGTATCTTTTCTACTGGCATGGTTTTCAAAACCGTAATACGAGGTGATTGGGTACTCCAGGGTAACTTAATTGACTCGTTTTACATGGTCTGCATTATTGCATTGGTGTTTTGTTGACTTTGTCTATTTACTTATTTTTATAGATTCTTAGTAGGCTTGTGTCAATAGAAAAATTAGTTTTGAAGTGAATTCGAAATGAGTTGTGATTTGGTTTGAATAATTTTGAATTCAATTCAAATCTGATATTATAAAAAAATGAGCATACGACTGTCATGACCCAACTAACCTATAACCCATTTTTTAATTGCCCCACCGCGGTTCTCTAGTGGCTAATGTACTCGGCTGCTGACCCCCAAGTCGCGGGATCGAATCCTGGCTGCGGCGGCTGCATTTTCGATGGAGGCGAAAATGCTGTAGGCCCTTGTGCTCAGATTTGGGTGCACGTTAAAGAACCCCAGGTGGTCGAAATTTCGGAGCCCTTCACTAGGGTGTCTCTTATAATCATATGGTGGTTTTGGGACATTAAACCCCACATATCAATCATTTTTTTTTAATTAATTAAAACAAGGGATGTGCAAATATCATTTTTTTAGTTCAAAGTAAGGGGAAGCAGCATTGAACAGTAGCAGAATTTGACTTTCGGTAGAATGTAAGTGATAACATGTAAAATATGTTGTTTTAAAATTTGCTACACTTAGAGCATATACTCCAGTATAACAAGTTTTTAAACAATAAAAGAAAAAAAAAAGAAAGAATCGATGTAGGGGTAGGAGTGTAATAGGTTTGTTTAACCTTAAATTGATACTTAGCAGCACTGTGGATTTTTTCTGGAAAAGTGTATTGATAGTACAGCATTCTTCTACTGCAGTGAAACCACCTTTGTAAGAGGTTACATCCAGGCTGATAAACACCTTTTTGTTTATTTCGAACACTTCGAAATCTTCAATAGTTCAAGTTTTATTCAAAGTGAATTAGAATATGTGAATATTGGTTAGAATATTCGAAGTGCTCGAATAATCGTCTTGGGCACATCTGTTTGACTTGCACGAACATATTCCTTTTTAAAACTGTGCATCCTTTGTTTATTCATCAGTTTCACATCTGTGTTTGCTCATTCTTGCTGTTAATAACACTTGGCAGCTGTGTTTGCCTGCCCTTCTGGTCTGCAGGGAGCAAACAGTTCAGGGTTTTGTGGCAGCAGCTAAAGACAAATGCGAAAGATCCCACAGGTTGGGGGTAGTGGATGCTATGTGGATTAGTCTTCAAGAAGCTGCCTATGCAATATTTTCGTTTATGTTTTCTTTGAACAATGTGTGACGATATCGATAGAAGTCTTTGTGTACATTGTGTAGTTGAGTGTATATTGCCAGATTATGAGGCACCTTGGCTACACTGGTGTTTAAAGAGAAGTTCATGGAAAAGCTTATGGTCTATAGTAGCATCAGTACTCATTTTACAAAACTCATTTTACAAAAGAGATGTCAGTTTTGTCAAAACAAAGTGCATGCTAGGGTGCGACAATGTGCATATCAGAAAAAGGTGTAATTGGGGCATTCTTTCTGAGTAGTGCGACTATAGCTTGCAAAATCATAGGAGTACATTCGTAATATTTCTTGTATTGATGTCAGAACAGATAGACATAAACCGTAATCATGAATGACTGTGTGCTGATGTGATCTTTGTGAAGGTCCAATCCAAACCAGTTTAAAGCTCTGGCACAGCTGTGTGGTGAAACAGTTGTCTGTCATGCAGAACACATTGGTTCGATTTCTGCTTGAACTGCGATTTTTCATTCTTTGTGTCAGTCGGGCTCTTTTATTCACTGACAATGCCGCTGACACTATCGCTTGGATTTTCTGCACCATGGTTCCGTAACCCTTTCATTGTAGGGTGTTTCTGACCATGATGCGCCACCAGTGAATGCTTGGTTTTGTGAATATCGGGAAATTCACAGTAATGGTGCATTGCAAAGTGAAGACGACAAATGAGGATGTAACGGAGATACGTTTTCCGCTCATAGTAGCGAGGCCACAGCATTCAAGTGAAAGCAATGATTGAGTCACGTTACGGTTGATTGGAACAGCAATGGTACGCACACCTGAGCTTGACGTCGATTAAAAAAAGACCAAACAAATCCCGCAAAAGCTGTGGCAGACAGAATAATCCTCACATGTGCGCTGCATGGTCGTTCAGCGAGCACGTGGCCCCACATTAAACAATATAGAACAATCGAGCTATTTGCTACTGACTGAATGTTTAGTGGTTGTTCTTGTGTGTGTTTGCTCGGTATGTGAAAGCATTCAGACTTATGCGTCTGCCTATGCCGCAACTATAAGGGATTCATACATTTTTTCTCATGGCAGTGAAGTTTTCGAGGCAGAAACTTTCAATTTGTAAGCTGCAATTGTGTTATCAACCAGGTAATAATGCATACTAGCGTTTCTTTTTTTGGCCTTGTCACTATAACTAGGATTAAAATAGATGGCTGGTGTACTGAACTCTTTTACAGGAGTGCTCATGACTGTTGTGCCCCGCCGCAGTGGTCTGATGGCTAAGATACTCGTCTGCTGACCTGCAGGTTGTGGGATCGAATCCCGGCTGCAGCGGCTGCATTTTCGATAGAGGCGAAAATGCTGTAGGCCCCTGTGCTGATTTGTTTGGGTGCATGTTAAAGAACCTCAGGTGGTCTAAATTTCCGGAGCCCTCCACTACGGCGTCTCTCATAATAATATCATGGTTTTCGGACGTTAAACCCCACATATCTATCATGACTGTTTCCGTGCTTAGGTGTGCACGAAGGAATGGGCAGGAGGGACCATTGCACCCCCTGGTCACCTAAGAAGGGAAGCAATAAAATCTGCCCCATACTTTGACTTAGTGGAGGGGGAGTACTGTCCCCTCCACCACGATGGAAAAACCTGTGCACTCCTATGGTTTTGTCACTTGGTGTAGCTTAAAGCTGCATGACGAACCTAGCTTGTCTGCAAGAGTCTGACAAATGTGTTTTAATCTATGACAAGCGGCGTTCGTTGCCAGTTTGTGGCTGTGAACTGAGATGAGTAGGTATTCAGATGATTCAAGCTGAATCTTACTGTTAAGGAGTCTTTGTATTAAAAAGAAGCTACTAACCGATTCAAGCTTAAAGTACGGTTATGTGAAAAGCAGCTTGACTTCATTTATTCACTGGCATTTTATGTCATGTTGAAGCTTTGGTCTATCTAGTGCTTTGACCATGTTTTTGAGTGGTAGTTGCTGTCACTGTGTGTTTTTTGTATTTGCTTGATCTCACAAAGAATAACAAATTGTTGACATGTCACTACATGTGACTTTTTGTCTGTGGGATCGGATGCGAGCAGCGTGAAAATATTGTGATATTAACATCGATACTTTCATTCTCTCACTTTTTGCTGTTAGTTTTTTTTTCTTAAGTGTTTCTCGTAGAAGCCAAAAAAAAGTTTTGAAATCACATGGAAGCGTCTCACTAAATGCCATATTTACACGATTGTAGGTCGATCCACATTGTTTTAATTTAAAATTCGAATTGGGGGGTTGACGTAGAATCTAAAAGTAGTTTCAGTTGCAGAGACTTTCTAAAAATGATCTGTGTAGTTCTGCAAAGCTAGCTTTTCTGCACAGCTGTCAAGCACTGCCATAAAGCCACTGGTGTGCCAAGGTGGCACACAGGTGACTTCACAGTGTGCCTAAAAAAAAGTAATTTTACAGCAAAAGCTGTTATAAGATCAGAACACAGGTCTTGCACGGTGCCGTAGTTATCCGCCGCTGGTGTCCGTAGCCAATATCGCACGAAATAAGAAAAGAAAAAAACGAACTCGGTAAATAAAAAAACACTAAGGACACAATAGAATTCGAACCCAGGTCTCTTGCGTGCCAGCCCAGTACTCTACCACTGAGCGACGCCGGTGCTTGAAAATTGCTTCTAAACTGGCCTTAAGTAGCTCTAAGTAGGCTGGGTGTCGGGAAAGAAATCGCGTTATTATGAGTAAGAAAGCGTTTTAGAACATCAAAGAAACAGCCAGGCATCACATGATGCTAATTGCATAACAAGTGGGTCATCCAATCCTCCGATCTATTAGAAATTTGTTTTTGATCACCTGTTAACTGTGGCGCATACCCTCTTCAGGCATAATTCTTCATCGTCGTCAACTACTGCATAAAACAATTGCACAAAATTCCTAGCAAGGATACCATGCTCTTTCGAAGAATGACGAAGGATAGCATAAATGCTGGCCTACTACACAAAATTTGTAATTTTTGGCATAGTGAGTACCCAGCAAGTGTGCTTGTGGCAGTTACCTAAAGATTGTTTAGAAAAGGCTCTGAAAAGCCGCTGTTCTAGGTTTTGTTGTGACTGTGCTATGTGTTTCACGCAGGCCTGGCTTTTTTTTTTAATGAAATGTGTGAATGGTCCTTTTAATTTTGCCGAACAACTTCAGGAGTCAACCTACATTTGAGTAGACTTACCATAGTGTAAATACGGTAGATTTTTAAATGGAGCACTGACAATGATACTTTTTGTTCGTATTTTCTTTTCTTCAAGTAAAGGTTTTGGTCATCTGAACTGGAAGAAACAAACTGGAAAGCCTCAGAGTTTTATTAGTACATGGAGACATAAAATAGCTTTAAGCCAATTTTGGTATTGTTTCTACTGTGTCGTGATGACATGGTGCTCAAAGAAGTCATGTAGGAGCAGAAATTTCAATATTTGATGCTGCTCTTTCTGAGCACCGAAGCAGCATAGTCAGTGGCCGAGAGAGCCAGATCAAGCGCGGAAAGGTGACTGTAGGCTGCTCGCACGCGACCAGATTTACTACGTCACAACAAAAAAAAAAAAAATTTAAAACTGAAATCGACTCTACAAAAGCTGTGAAATTATTTGTGTCTTACTGAGGCTTTTCTGGGCTTAGAGCTGTTTTGGAATCTTACATGCATTCTTAATAAGCATGGAGGTGTTCCATTCTGTCAGACCGTACATGATTGCTCAATGTGAGCTGTAACGTTATCTGACAAGATGCGTGCATTTCGAGAGAATGGCATGCCACCGTGCTTACTTCATGTTTAATACTACTTGAAGGGTGGTTGTGTGTTAAGTTTGGTTAAAAAGTAACATTGCAGTCCAGCCTAGCAGTGCCGCCCAGTGTGGTTCACTGACTTTTCAAATCAGTACTGTATAAGTTGCTCTTACTGTCACAAGTGAGTGACTTTTGTAGGTGTTTTGATTTCATCCTGAAAAAAATAAAGGAAACAAAAGCTGTGGCTTCTTTATAGTGACGGGATTCATACCTGAGACATTTACTTGTGGCTTTCCACCCAAGTTATTACAAGAGGTCCTGTGTTTTAAACCAGGCTATTCTTACTGATTTTGTTACAGAATGTCAAGGACGAGTATGCCAGTGATTGGTACAAAACCATGTTTAAACGGCTGCACAAGCATGGAAGTGGTAAGCATGATTATGAACAAAGTCAAATCTGCTATGACAAACGCCGCTGCAACAGCTTTTCCTTCTCAACATAATGTTTCCGTTTTCTATCAACTGCCCTTAGAAAACAAGTAAAAAAATGCCTCGTCACTAGGAATACTTTACTTGCATACTTCCACTTAACCATCTTTTCATGAGTGCTATCACATAAAAAAAGGGGGTTGTCAAGGGGTTGTCTGTAAGATGGCTGTGAAATTGTGACAGCAGCTTGATGATTTCTCATTAGCTCATGACTTTCAAAGCAATGTGGCCACACTGCAAGGCCCATATTGCTAGACCTTTGATGTGACACACGCTTTCTGTTAGCGCATCTACATCCCAATAAATTTTTTGCCATTTTGCTGCATCGGGACAGATCATCCAGCCATCACGATGCAGCTGGCGAGATTGATGCGAGTGTGGGCCACAGTAGAATCATTGGAAATTGGATATATTTCTAACATACAGCTTATAAAATGTACTGCTCATTCTTGCTAGCCTTGCAATCATAGAGGATAACCACGGCTTTCTTATGGGGAGATGCTACTCAAAGACATTTTTTTTATATTAACGCTAGAGCAATGAAACTTATGCTGTTTATAGACATTTTTACCCTGATATCAAATATATAATTAGTTTTCTTGCAAGTTGCATACTTTTAGTTCTGCAACATGACAAATTGAAAACCTTGTGCCTTTGCCCCCTTCTCTTTTTTCCCATCACTAAACTTCGATAACGTCTTTACCATTGATAGTTCATAATGTTTCAAATAAAGTGTGCAATGTAAAAAGCTAATTAGGAAGTGCATACAAAAATATGTAATAGGTGTGAAAAATAATAGACGCGAAGAAGTCCATATTTCTTCTACTCTAGTAAAGGTTTACATAAAATTTTTTATTGTATAATAGAAATGTTGAAACTTGGACAAGATAATTGTATTTCTCACATTTTAGAAAATATTTGGGCGAAATTTAATCTGATCCAAGCACCAGAAGTACCTGAAAAAAGGAGGGGAACTTTAGAAAAAATGCCAAAATCTGTGATTAAGAAAAAAGTTCTAAAGTTAAAATTGAATGTTTTTTATGAAAGATGTCTTTAATGTGATGAAATTTGCACACAAGATTCTTGTAGTAACCACTTCCACTAAAATGTGCCACTACCACAAAGTTGTCTCTCGCGGCTCTTTCGAGCTGACTCCTCTCGGACATTTCGCTCACAGACAGGGCCATGAACCAGTTTCCAAACTTCTTCCACTTCATCTGGTAGAGTCTTCTGCCAACTGAAAACTAGAGAGAAGTTCGACAAGACTTCGAAATCTTAAGTCCAGTGTCGAGGTACACAACAGGGCCGATGCCATTGTGGCTCTTGCGGCTGTGTTTGTGTCACATACCGTCATACATAACGGCAGTGTCGTCCCCGTTAGCTTCTCTTACTTTGAGCTCCCTCAACTGCTAGAATGAGACAGATGGCAAGCACTGCTGCATCACCGTTGTTCTGGCTGATGGCTGGGAATGACTTATGAAGCATTGGCTCAAGAATTGCGACAAATCGAACCAGTTGCCCGTAACCCAATTCAACAGAGCGCGCCACCACAACAGCTTTCACGTTGAAAGTGCAGCTATCGCGTGAGTTACGGCTTTCTTCATCCATAACGGAGAAAACACATGAGAAAAGCGTCGTTCAGCTGCGCTGCTCGACCAGACATGGACCCCGCAAGTAGGCTTCACAGCATGTACAGGCGGGCAGCGGGCAATGGTGGTCCCTGATTCGTACCACGTCATTTAAAAGCCAGTTGCGGCGTTTAAAGAATGTGGTGAAAGCGGGCTTCTTTTTATTGTTTCTTGCGACATAGCAGCCCGGGAAACTCGTTATTTGAAGAGTGATGCTTGGCTCTTTGCCTCATGTGATCGACAGTGGCGAGCGGCAAGGTTTCGGCGGCAAGGTGTTTGAAGACTCCACACTTTCGGCCTTTGAACAGCCGCTTTGTGCTTTTTAGATGCAGTTTTAGAGGATTTCCAGTTGAGTCTTGACATCGTTCTTTTTTTTTATCAGTAAAGGTACTAATGTTATCAAAACAGGTGAAAAGAAAAATCGGTAATTTTAAAGAAAACTCCCGTTTCTTGACCTGCACGCCCCCTTAAGCAACAACTGCGACCAGTGCAAAATTTAGTGAAACTACATTCTGTCATATCCGCTGTGAACAAAATTGCAGTCATGTCAATGTGATCATGGAAAACCATGATACTATGAAAGTATATGCACATCCAATGCTTTCTAAGTCAAGGAAATGCGGCTTGCTCGAACTTCTGTGGATGAAAATCTCTTAAAAGCCTGGCAGGTGGCAACAACGCAGTTCTGAAGGAATGTGCATAGACAGCGCACGTGGATAGAAAATAGAACTGCCCTTTGGCTGCATTCGCTGCCCACAAAACCCACCGAACTGTGGTCACTATCATTGATAGTTACTGTGCAACTCTGAAGGTATGCAGCAAATGAAGCGGAAGCTTCAAGGCAATAAAATTATAAAATATGCAGCAAAACAGAGTCAATGCAGACTTAGAAACAGAGTCGATGCAGACATAGACACAGAGTTGATGCAGACTTAGAAACAGAGTCGATGAAGACTTAGAAACAGGGTCGATGAAGACTTAGAAACAGAGTCGATGCAGACTTAGAAACAGAGTCGATGCAGACTTAGAAACAGAGTCGATGCAGACTTAGAAACAGAGTCGATGCAGACTTAGAAACAGAGTCGATGCAGACTTAGAAACAGAGTCGATGCAGACTTAGAAACAGAGTCGATGCAGACTTAGAAACAGAGTCGATGCAGACTTGGAAACAGAGTCGATGCAGACTTGGAAACAGAGTCGATGCAGACTTGGAAACAGAGTCGATGCAGACTTAGAACTCGCACAGATGTTTATTGGCATCTGTAGGAGCCCATAGCATAAGGTGGTGCTCAAATTCCCTCGCAGGCTCGTCTTTGTCTAGGGGACCGAAAGTTGTGAAAAGGTGCTTTTGGCTTTCCTCTATTCAGTAGTACTTCGTTCTCGGTTGCCCTTTAGTGATGCCAGGGTTGCCAGATAGTTCCAATGTGGTAAAGACATACCTGGAGCCAAACTTTTCGTGTTTGAAAAGTAGCCAAAAACATATCAAAACGTGCTGATAAAGTGCCCCCCCCTCACCCATGTGATTGCCCCCTCCCTTTTTTGGGAGATCTAAAATAAGTGCCATTGACTGAGCAAGGGCCCCCTCCCCTGCGGCCACTTTTTTGTCAATACGAGCATCGCTTACTTACCTCAAGAATAAGTACACTGAATGCGTATCCAATGTTCTTTGTGAAACACTTAATAAAAATAAAGCATTTCATCAGAAACGTGGATGGACATTCATTATTTTTAGAGGCTTTACCGTCGCCATCTTGAATTTTTGTCTGTGGTCGAGCAAGCACCCCCTGGACCCCCCTCCCAAATCTAGTCAGATTATCCTTTACTGTATGGGGGCGCTTGCTTGGCATATAGGGTAACCAAACGGTTTGATGATGTGCTGCAGATTCCACATTGACACTGTAGATAGTCTAAATCTCAATGCATACTTCCAGCTTTAAGATTACTGCTGGTGGATGCAACCAGCACAGTATTTGGATCATTAAGAATTTTAGTGCCACTCTGACACCAGCTGTTCTCGCAATGATTTACTGAGCTAACACTTCACGCCGAGGCATGTGGTTTTCGGATTTACTTCTTGTACTGTACCCACTCCTGCAATAACCCTGTAAATGCTCTCCAGTATATGAATATAGATTTTTATACAAGAGTCGGGGAACTATTGCCAGCTCTAACCATGTGGATTTGCTTTGGTTGGTCGTCCGGCTCGGTGGATAAGTTGCTAGGCTGTTGACCCGAAGGTCGTGGGTTCGATCCCAGCCACAGTGGTCGCATATTCATGTAGGCAAAATACTAGACATTTGTGTGGTGTAAGTGCATATTAAGGAACACCATATTGTCACATTTTCCGGAGCCCTCTACTGTGGCATCTCTCATAATTGTATCGCAGTTTTGGCACATAAAACCTCACACAATAATATTATTATTATTATAATTATTAACTTTGGCTGGTCTCTACCAAGTGCTGAAGTGGCGGCTCGAGGCCTTTTGGAAAAGGGATGCCTATCCTAAGCTTGATTTTTAATAGTTTGTTTTGTTTGGGTGCGCTTGATAATTTTGTGAGCGTACAATGAACTTTCTCATTTGAAAACTGCACAGCACCAGATGATGTCAAAACCAAAGATGCACTTAAAGTAAGATTTCACTTTAAAAGAGGGGTCTTACATTTACAAGTGGGGTTTGCCCACTTGCCCGTGCAGAAATTTGAGGACATCATCATCTCTCCTTCCCATATTTCTCAGCTCGATGAGCCCTCTACCTCTCACGTGGCCAGCAAACCTTCCCAGGATTTGCTACTTTGATTCCACCAAAACCTCTCATGATCGAGGCTTGATTATTTCTAAGCATTGTCACCTAGTCGGAGCCACAATTGCGACTCTTGACGGTGCACTGCGCACTGCTGAAAGAAGCTTTACCCATCAATGTTCTCATTCAAAGACCATATTTATGTAGTGCCTTTGCGAACACTACTGCTAGAAATTTTGTCATCGACAGTCAGACCTTCCTATGAGAATATTGCATACCTGGCAAGGCTCCTGAATTTTCAGAAACTCCCGCATTTCGACCAGCTCTTACGTTTGAATGATTCTCAGGAAAATCTCCCGGAAATTGAAATTTCTGTGCCTGTCAACAACTTTGGGCTGTCCAGAGAGCCGGCAGTGTGGCTGTTTCTACGTGGGAGCGGCCCCCTTCGCATTGTCAATCTAAGAGGTGTCTTTTTTCGGGATCCTTAAAGTTCTTTGTGCCGTATCTGGCTGCATTGACAAAAATCTAGCCTGGGCCGATCCAGCCTTTTTGCGAACCGATCGCATTTAG